TCAGCCCCGTACAGAGTCGTGTGTCTGCCACACCGGGCCGAAAACCCGAAACCCGAAACCCGAAAACCCGAAACCCGAAACCCGAAACCCGAAAACCCGAAACCCGAAACCCGAAACCCGAAACCCGAAACCCGAAACCCGAAACCCGAAACCCGAAAACCCGAAACCCGAAACCCGAAACCCGAAAACCCGAAACCCGAAACCCGAAAACCCGAAACCCGAAACCCGAAACCCGAAACCCGAAAACCCGAAACCCAATTTCCGGGTTTTTTAGTCCATAATGTATTTCATGAATCTAAGTGGAATAAGCAAAATAGATTCCTTGTAGTTTCGGATGGCCGCGGTGATCATGGTTTCCACCTCGTCCCGGGTATATGTACGCTCATTGGGAGCCTGAGCGGGGGTTGCGGCTGGCCTTCTTGAAGCAGCTTCGCCATCCCGGAACCCAAAAGAGGGGCTGCTTGGGGTGAAAGGGATCCGACCCTCCTTTTCAGGTGTAAGGAAGCTACACCCCGACTTATCTTTCTGAACGGACGATGGATCAGCCGGTGTACTGCGAGCTACTGCATCTAAATCCTTCTGCAAATTCCGGGCAGTGATATCTCCTTCTTCCATTGTTCTCTACGTTGATAGCTCAGATCTGGACTTCCGGGGGGTAGATCTGATATTTTCCCGGAAGTTATCCCCAAGATTTTTAGAGCATTCCCACAGACGGCGCCACTTGATTTGGTCCGTAGGTCTTCGTCTTCCTCAAGCCAGCTCCGTCCGTACTCCGGTGGATAGACCTGCAACGCCGGGAGGGGTTCCCGGCGGGAAAGCTCCGACGATCAAGTCAGTGATCGGAATAAAGGGAAAGACGTGTATGTAATGTAATAGTGATTAGTGTATATATTTCTCGTGTGTGTGCGTGTGTTGATTCTCTTATTTATAGATGAGGAAAGCTTGGCCTTCAAGGCTTTCCTTTTTTAGGGTTTCTCTTTTCCCCCAAGTCATGTATCTTGGGCCTGTATTGTTCTGGGCTCGCCTTACCCCGTTTTGGTATTGGGCTGGCGAGTTAAGGTACTCCCACGTAGTTCCGAGGTTCGCGCCATACGACGACTTCGCTCATAGTACCGAGCTAAGTCATCATGGGTTCTTCATTATGGGCCTATCATATTGGGCTTACCCTAATGGGCTTATGCGTATTTGTTACTTGTCAAACTAGCCCATATCATTATTTATCTATAAAGTGTGTATATCGTATCATCCACCATGAAACCAATCTATGATGATATGATGGAGAAAATGGTAGTACACAGTTAATTAGATAACTTTTTCGAGATCCACTTTTTTTTTGCTATTCGAATCTATAATTTCCTGCTAATTGAAGCCTATGTGTTTGTTCCATGTAGAAAGGCTAAATTTTTGTAAACATGTGGTCCCTATACGCATATACATTTTCCTGCTAATTGAAGTGCTAATGAATATCTCTAAACATTTGTATGTATAAATGCGGCATGAGCATATATTATGGTACATGTTATGATTTTTACCTCTTATATTCGCGGGAAAAATAGAAGGCATTAATTAAACTGTGTGATTTGTACTCGACAGGCAGCTGGTGCAGTGGGGGGTGCACTCGCGATTTTGGAGGTTATGCCTCTGAAGTACAAGCACATGCTTGCAGGTCCTTCTTTGAAAGTTGACTTGCACACTGGAGCAATTGCTGAGGGAGTTTTGACTTTCATAATCACCTTTGCTGTCCTCGTTATTATCATTAGGGGTCCAAGAAACGCCCTCGTAAAGAACTGGTTGCTTGCTATGTCCACTGTGGCTCTTGTTGTTGCAGGTTCCAGTTATACCGGACCTTCCATGAATCCTGCCAATGTAAGCCTTTATTTCTACTTTTTTCTTTTACTTTTTGGAAAGTTTTTTATTATTATTAGAGAATCTTGTCGTTTACGCTCTTCATTAATTATGGTTCCGTTACTCTTCTATTTGATTGTTGGTCTTAATTGATTATAGAAACGACAAGGAATATAAATATTCTTCTTACCTAGAATAAAGGTAATAGCTTTAACATTTATCCCTTAAATGTATCCATGGAGTCCTAATATAGACTTCATCGGATCTAATAATGCAACCATCTGAATCTCTCTAGAACTCAGATGCCAGCTATTAATATCTTGGCAGTTGTAGACGAGTGTCCAGCTACCTAGACTGAGTTTTGTTTTTGCTGTAATAGGGAGGTAATCTCGTTGTACAAGTATATATTCCTCACTGGGTTGTTCTCTGAGCGAGTATCAAGCTTGTGTTTATTCTTTTGAATATTCATTATTTTCTTTTTTCATGTTTTTTGCTGTTTTTTTTTCCTTTTCCTACTTTGTTCCATTTTCTCCAATCAAAGCTCACTTGTCATAGTTCTTAATTCATTACATACTCTTTCCAATTTAAAGTTATATCTTCTCAAAAGAACTTTGTTTAGTGATTTTTGATTCTTTCTTTTCCATGATGGTATACCTTGAAGAGCTGTTTTGAACAGATGCTTCTGATATCTATTGTAGTTGTTGTTCTTCAAGCTTTCAGTCGAATTATTTGAAAGATATAATAAAGCTTCATATAACTAAGTCTTAAAAGAAAATTAAGAAACTTCTCAAATCCTAATGGTACCTTACGATATTAGGCTTTGTCCTTATTTCAAAACTTATATTAAGTTGTAAAGATACGAATCTCTCTCTGGAGTATAATTGTGTGTTGTGCCAGAAGAAGTTTGTGTTTTTTTACCTGTGTGAATATGTGTGCAGGCATTTGGGTGGGCTTACATAAACAATAAGCACAATACATGGGAGCAATTATACGTGTACTGGATATGTCCCTTTGTTGGAGCAATACTGGCTGCATGGATTTTCCGCTTTGTATTTCCTCCACCCCCAACGGCGAAGAAGCAGAAAAAAGCTTGAAAGGGCATAAAAGTAATTTAAGCTTGTCGATAGTCAGTACATTCTCAAGTTCTATTTTTCACCAATAATAGTACTCTTGTTATGGCAGTTGAATTATGTTTCCCCAGCTAACAATTTAGATGGGAAGAAAGACTCGGATAACCTTCTGTCAGATTTAATTTTTTTTTTTTCCATAAAAACTTTGTTTTCAGTGCAACATATCTTCTACTTTTAGTCCTTTGATAGATCTAATCAATCTTGAATATTGTATTTGCATAAGTACTGTCATAAATGGGGTGCAAGATTTAACTTGATTAGATGTTTTATACTTTTATTGGTCCAAGCCTAAAATAGTCAAGTGTACTAATAGTCGTAGTTGTTTGAAATCTGCCTCCAATCACCATTTGCCAGTCTTATTTAAATGATGGCGGCGGCTATATGCAAGACCATGAATTACTTTGTGCAAGACCACCAACATGAAAATACTAATTTACCCTTAATGAAATTCAAGCCAATTAAAAATACAAAATATAAAAAACCATCTTTTCTTTGTGCAAGACCAAATAAAATAATAAACCCACAAACCTTTATTTCTCAACTTCAAAATCTCCTTCTTCTTCTTCTTCTTCTCCTTCTTCAAAAATCCACCAAGAACCCTACACACCAAAACAATCAAATACAACCAAACATTCACAATGGAGTCGGAAAACAAGGAGGTGGTGGTTTATGAGGGTAGAGAACGCAATGAGGTATGTTTTAACAGTTTATTTTAGCGTTTGTCGTTTTTTTTGGTTGAAAAGCCCGATACCAGAAATCGGTATTTACAGACCGATTTTTTTAACCATATCGGCATAAACGTGCCGATTTTACATCGCAAACCGGTATGATAGTGCCGATATTTTTGAAAAAAAATAGTATGTCTATTGATGTCGATTTCCTGGAAAATATCGGCGTAAAAATGCCGATTTTGTTTTGTAAAAATCGGCATATAAATGTTGAAATATGGTTGTGTTTTTTTAAGACCGTTTTCCTCTACTTTCTTGCAGCAACAAAGGGGATTGATGGAGGATTATTTGGATGAATTTTCGAAGAGATACTTGAGCCACGGGAAGCTTTACTCGATTGGGTTAAAGGAGTTGATAGACGACACATAATGGTGATAAATATTGCCATTTCAAATCCGGGATTGAAAAGGCGTAGAAGACCGTATATGGTACTCGCATGAGACAATGTAATTGATGTAGACTTTACTATTATGTGAGACCGTGAATAATTTTCCATGAGTTGATATTGTATTTGTGTTTATTTCTCATTTGGATATGTGATGTTTATTTACGAAAAAAAATCATACAATAATCACTTAATATGTCTAAAAACGTATTATAAGCTCCAAACACCCTATAATAGTGTACACTACGTATTATAAAAAAAAAAAAAAAAAAAAAAAAAAAACTCAAAGAATCGATTTTTTTTTTGTTTTGTTAACGGCAAGTTTTCCTTTCGTGTGCGGTTTGAGGCAGTCTGCGGTACACGAGGAGGTTGAGGTTCCACTGCAAAACAATTAAACAAAATTAATAAACCAATATATCATATAAGAAAGAAGAAAAAACAAACAGAAACAAATCGGCACGTACGCGCTGTTTTCGCTTCTCCGATTTCTATCTCAAAATTGAATCCTAAATCGACCAAACCATTGCAACCCAACAAGAAATAACCATCGATTGATGCTCACCACGCATATTTAGCAAGGAATCCTGGTTCATTTTTGTAATTTACCAACAACGAAGAAGTTTTGAGAAAGCTTACTTGTTTTTTGCAAGTTGCAGGTCCTGGTGCGGTGGTGGTGCGGCGGTGGTGCAGCGGTCGGCGTCGGTTGTGCGGTGGTCGGAGGTGAGGAGGTGGTTCTCCTTCTTCTCTTTCCCCGTCGGTGATAAACGTAAGATGAGTTTATTTATTTTTTTTTTCTTTTTTTGGTCTTGAACAAAGTAAGAATGTGAATATAGGGTTTATAGTTGTATTTTGGTAATAAGGGTATATTCGTCTTTTCTGGTCTTCAACTAAGAAAATTAGGAGATTTTTTAGTCTTGAACTAAGTAATCCTTTTAGGTGGTCTTGCACAAAACATTTTATGGTCTTGCATATAGCCGCCGTCTTAAATGATCCCATTGTTTCAATTTGTTATTGTACTGTTTTACTTTTCTATAACTCACATAAACTTTGCAGTTGGTTGAAATATTTAGATTTAGATTTAAAGAAGCAAAGACATTTTATTTTAAGAATAATTTTTAAGTAGGATTAGAAATAAGATCAATCCGATTGACTTTTGATAAGCTTTACATCCATCATCACTAGAATGAATACGTACTATAGTGTTGTTTCGCTAACATCATCGAACACGGCACAGAAAAATAGTAGAAGAAAGCTTTTGTTCAACCATAAGCTTGATCTTAAAGGGTTAGTAAGTATATCAAGAAATAAGAAATGTTCTCCATACAAATATTGAGTTCACATGAAGATAAAGAATTGGGAAAAATATAATAATATGACAAATGGTTCTGTACAAATTCACAAGAACAATCATTTCTGTTTACATAAAGACAACAATGATAAAAAAATTTGTTGCAACAGGACACATGCCATATATCTATCTATCTATACATCGAAAATTGTCAATTTTCTGTGATGTTAAATTGATTGGTAAAACATTGAGCCAAGTGCTTGATCTTCATTACCATATAGCAAAGTTCCATTCTGGATTATTTGGGAACTGATGCTAAATGGTATCCATTGGCCAATGATTTTACAAACAGATTCATTGAAGATGGTAAAGAGTGTATTCACGCATCCTCAAATCTTGAACTTCTCCTGTACCAAAAACCAGCTGAGGCCCTCCTGGATTGCAAATGCTCTGATGAATCCAGAAAACAAATGGGGATTATTCACAAACTATTTATTCTGAAAACAAATATATATCAGATCGATGACGTAGTCTTAGGTTGTGTAAATGGGGATTTTATTACCTGCAAGCAAGATCAATGGATTCTCTGTCTAAGAGGCCAACTGGACAGCCTCCACGAACCCCATCCTCCAAGATGACAGGGAGTTGGTTTATACCATATCTATTCATCAGATTCAGAGCATTAAAGAGGCTCATGTTTGGTGTCGCTGTCCAGGATACAGCACATCTTCTGCCGTAAGACGAACACAGTTCAGATACTCTAAGCACCTGCAGTATAAAATTCCAAGCATTCAATGACGTCTTGAGAAAAAAAAAATGTAACCTTAATTTGAACGTACAATATGACCAAGCAATTATTTGTATTAAGATGCTCTACCTGAGGTTTCCTATCTTTCTCCCTAGACAATGCAATGAACTGCTGAATGTCGCTGAGGGTCAGCTGACCAACGAGCCAGTTGTTTTCATCAACTATTACTGCACATGACTGTTTCTCTTCCAGCATGAGCAACACTACATCTGTTAGAGTAGTGCTCATCAGCGTAGTTACATACTTTGTTCTCATTGCTTGTGAAACCAAGATTTCATTTGCCAGGTCATCCGCTTCATCTTCAGATTCATCATTCAGACAGAGTGAACTCTCGAGTTCACAAAGGCTACTACCGTTTGGTTCCTTGACATTAGGAGAAGTAGAGTTAACAGTGGAGTCGTAAGAATATCTCTCTGGTGAAGTTGCTACAACGTTTTGGTCTTTCGTTTTGCTGGTTTTATCAGTGACTCTTTTCCTTGTCTTGTCAGATGTAACCCATGAAGAGAGTCCCACAGCTCCCAAAAGTGGCAGAACAATTCGATAATCTTGTGTTAGTTCAAAAAGAAGCAAAACTGCCGTGAGGGGTACCTGGCACACCCCAGCTAGAGTAGCAGCCATACCAACCTGTGTTAAAATTCCACACAGAAAACTACGATTTAGAATATTACTTCTGACAAAAACTAGAAAAATACCATAGGAGTTGACTTGAAATGATAACATTATGCAGTGAATCCTCATGCCAAAATATATTCTGTTACTATGGTAACATTAGAAGATTGTCACTGTAAAACATCTACTCCAAGTGTTCTAGTTAATAATTTAATTTTTTTTTCTGCAAATGGTCATTCTTGGCAACATATTGACAGAATCCAGCAATTAGTCATGCAATGATAATGATGATTAATGAGTAAAGCATTCTGGTACACAAGTTCCATTATTAATGTCAAATCGACACAAGAGCATATACTCATATGCTACCTACCCTTTTGTCATTTGTGGAAGATGAGTTTCCATAACCGCTCTAGTTGATTCTCAATTTTTCCATTAACATCAAATCAAATTGATATACGTGTGTTGGGTGTGTGTGTTTAGGCCATATTATAAGGCCATAAGGCCAAAAAAAAGGATAAACGTAGAATGTTTTATAATCAGAGTACCCTATTATATGAGTAATTGTGGTGGATTTCAAATCCTTTTCATTTGAAGTCATTTCAAATCCTTCAATCCAAATGAGTCCTAAGAAACTTGACGTTAAGTATATAATAAATAGCAATAAGACTAAACTTTGCAAATTTTATCAGCTTCATCATTGAGGAATACGAAAATTACCAGGCCATATGCTTGAGGTGAAGCAACTTCCAAGACAGAAAGATGAAAGATTGGATTGGATATGGAAATCAAATAACCAACAATTTTCCCATAAGCCATTCCTGTACCAGCACCAATAAATAAAGATGGAGCATAGTAACCTCCAACCAATCCCGAAGCTCTGCATAATGAAGTTGCAACTATTTTCACAGCCACCAGCTGAAGCAAAAGACCAGCAGAAAGGCTGTTTGTAGAAGGGAGAGATTCCAACAAAGTGTCAACATTCTGGAATCCCCAGTACAAAATCTCAGGATATGCTAGGGCCATTATTCCAACAGACAAACCACCAAGTACGGGAAATGCTGCTTTCGGTACCCCAATTTTTTGAATATTATCAAAGAGAGCCAGCATAAAAGATGTAGACCTTGATAAGCCAAGAGAAACAATGCCACATAGTATGCCCAGCAAAAGATAGAGTGGCAGTTCTGAACTAACAAAAACAGGGATTAAAGATTAGGAGGTTACAGAAATAATTTAAGAGTTTTCCTATCAAAATTGTAGGGACAAGGGTGAATGCAGATACTGATATCCAGTTTCGATTGCGACACCACATATTAAAAAGCTTAAACAACATTTTAAATCCAACATTCTAAACTAAGAAGATGCTGGTGATGCAAGTTCGAACAAGGTTAAGCTTCTATTTTTGTGATTATGCTTGAAGGGTGTGACAAGAATAAGAACATCAACTAGAGGAGAAAGTTAACAATTACCACTTGGAGAGCGAAAATCATAGACTGGAACAGCAAAAGCTGGTTCAGAACCCAAACCAATCTCTGATATGACAGAAGCTATTACAGCACTCAGAATGACCATTGAAGTTGTATTTGTCAATGATAAGGATGACTCTGCAGGTGATGGCCACAGGACTGACTCCACAGCGAAAAAACAACCAGCAACGGCAGCATTGAATCCTGTCAGCAGGAAAATACAAAAGTGACTATTGCTATTTGCTAAAAAAACTGGAGTTTGACTAGAAGACTTTTAAAGTCAGAAACTTGAAAAACAGTGAGAAAGACTAAATTGCAATAGACACGCAGACTGGTTGGTCCTATAATAGCAAAAAGGAGAAATTATGCACCGTGCTAAACTGTGATAAGGAATAAGACAAACCAGAAGAAATTCCAGCAGCTGACCCTGCAGCCCTGAGTGACAGCTTTCTTTGAGCTCCTTTATCCAAAAAACTGCCTACTCCTTTGGCTACGGAGACGCCAATCTCGACACTCGGTCCTTCTGGCCCTAATGCGTTCCCCGTTCCCAACGTGACGCAAGCAGCCAAAGTTTTCAAAATTGGTTTTAGTGCAGATTTGATTCCAGGCATCACAGTTTCACCCGTTGAATCCTCTATAGCACTTCGAAACACGTTCAAGAAACTAACTACCAGGCCTCCACAAGCAGGAACTAGGATTATACGACCCCATTTTGCTTCAATGGGTTGCTCTCTTAACCATGAGGCACCTAGATCTGGGAATCCACCCCAGCACAAGTCTCGTATTTCATGTACCTACTAAGTTAACAGGGTCTGAATGATATTAACAAACTTGATTACACCAATGAAATAGAGCAATCTAACAAAGGATTGCACTCCCCTGCCAAAATTTAAAAAATGTACGAGGGAAATTTTCAGTGTCTTCATGAAATACTCACACTAGTAAACCGAGACTGCTAAAAGAAAAGTTTAAAACGAGTGAACATACATGGTTTAGAATAGACGATTGTGAAGTGGGCATCAGCAAATCAGATTCAAGAGCGATAGGAAAATGCCATATTCAATCTCGTGAGACCAACTCATAGAATGTAACCATGATTGTCATGTCGGACACCCATTATGGAATTTAGATTAACAACTATTCAAAAAGATGGATAAGTCAGCATACATATCATGTCACTTCTTGTGAACATAAATTAACATGGATAACTCTTAATAGGGAATAGCAGGATACCAGTGGCGGATAGGAGGAGATATGTTATCAAAAACCTACATTCTTGAGCCTAAAATGTACAGGAACAAAACCAACAATTTCAAAGAGGGCAGATTCTGAATTTATGACTTAGTTTGCTGCCGGTTGTGTACACTATTATTTCCTATTACAATCTAAGATTGTGGTAGTTTTGTAGCTTGCTCAGTATTAACATAACTAACTTCAAAGAATCGAATCAACAAAAATCAAGATTATCATTACTTTGTCCCATGCTAAAGTATGCTCATCATTCACTTACCAAATTATGTTCCATAACTCATATGCATTTGATAATCATAATCCCATTTCATTGGCCGCATTTCAATAGACTGAAAACAGTGCATGCTAGAAGCAGGTGGACTACATATGTATGTAGAACCAATGTAAAATTGAAGAAGTTACCGTGTAATTGAAGAGGACAACAGCAAAGCCGGTGAGTAGGCCAACGAAACAAGCAGATAAAATGGCAGAATCCCCAAATTGCAGTAATTGTGGCGATTGGTCATCATCGTCATCATCATTAACAGATTGGGGTTGGGATTGAGATTGAGATTGATCATCAAATTCATCCCTCTTGACGTTGCAGAGATGATTTTTTCTATTAGTATGAAAATGAAAATGGCGAAGCCCAAAACTTGTACGGCGGTCGGAGGCAGAGTAATTATAGGGGTGGTACAATAGAAAAGAATAATTTACACGGGTTGATGATGGGCGGCGCCATTTCGCACCACCAACATGAATCGCCATGGTTTTGGAAGAGGAATGTGTAATTCTATACCCATCAGAACATAACACATGATGACGATGAGGTTTAGTGTTAGTAGTAGGAAATGTGGTGGATGCGGTGAGCCCAAAATGCATTGGCAACCTTGGTACTTGATATAATCGGTTATCCTATCATATCAAAAACCTTCAGCGGCGGCCGGCGGTGGAGAATACGGCGGCAGACAACTACTCAACTTTTTCGCCTTATCCAGAGAGAGAGAGAGAGATTCTGAATCATAGGCGACTAATAACCAAATGCAAATTCTCGAACGAATAAACTTTTATTAAAAATAAATTGTTTACATAGGAAAGTTATTCTCGGATTACTGTGATCAAGATAGATCACTTAAATATTTTGCTACATCTCGGATTACTGTGATCAAGATAGATCACTTAAATATTTTGCTACAATCATTTTCGATAGTTTGTACAATTCCATTAAGATTGGGAACTTATAAACTTAATATTCTAAACGAACTTTAAAAATGATCTTACGTGTACAACATCCTAACTTAACACAACATCTCAAATACTATTACAATATTTGGACTCTTGCAATTAATATATTGAATAATCATTTTTCAAATTATAGGCGACTAATAACCAAATGCAAATTCTCGAACGAATAAACTTTTATTAAAAATAAATTGTTTACATAGGAAAGTTTTAGTCTACTATAACAACTGGGAGGTCAGCTCAACACAGCCAGAACGATTCTGAAGTTAAAGAGCACTCTAAATCATTCTCGTTGCACTGGCTCTACACAGTCACCTCAACATAGCCAGAACGATAAAAAAATAATAATAAATAAACACCACAGGAAAAAGGACAATGGGGCGCACATCTAGACAATAACTGGTTCCTCAGCCTCTTCTGCCGGAGCCTCTTCTGCCGGAGCACCACTGCTACCTTCCTCACCCTCTTCTGCCGGAGCACCACTGCTACCTTCCTCAGCCTCTTCCGCCAGAGTACCGCTTCTACTGTCAAGAACCAATATCTTCCCATCAGAACCAAGGTCAACAGTAACCGAATCACCTTCTTTAATTTCACCGACACGCATCTTCTCCTCCATATTTTTCTCCAAAATGCGCTTAACAAGCGGACTAGGCAACATAACCACCTCTGCCATAAACCTCCGAGTTAATTGAAGCTCAATATACTTCCCGTTCAACCTCACCTTATTTGCTTCATTATAATCCCTGAACATCGTATTGTCGATAAAACGATCAATCATGTCTGCACCCGAGTGGTCTGCGTATAAGTTAAAGAAATTAGAAAACAACCAAAACATACAATAGCATTTCTAGATATGAAATAGCCAAAATGAATGCATCAACATCCACAGAATACCAACAAATACAGCACTGGTGATCTGCTTGTTATTTCAAATAATGAGAGGCTTTTAGAATGCTATCTGCAGAGACTAATTTTGTTTCTGGGTTCAACAATGTAAACAATCTTACAAGCATCCAATTCTGTTTTAAAAGAAAACATTTTTTTTTTCAAATATCTGAAATTAAGGAGTCAGCAGGCATTTTCTCAAATTAGAATGAAACTGATATCATTTCAAACTCTAACAACAAAGGAAGCAATCAGAAAGCCAAAACCACGGCGAAACTCAAATCCTATTACAATTGACCAGCACCGCAGAAAAACAATAGCTTCTAATTCGTATCATTGTGGCGGCAAGTCTAGATCTTTATAATCATCTCAAGTCTAGATCTCAAGTCTAGATCTTTAGCAAAACTCCCACTAAAGACCCAAATTTTTCCAACATAAACCCTAAATTAAACACAAGCTTCAATAAACATAAAATCACACGCAATAAACAGATTTAAAAAAAAAACCAAAAAATGAAGAATCTAAATCATAAAAAAATCAAGACTAACACTCGATTCTCCACAAAGATTTAAATCTAACAGACAATCGAGAAAAGAACCCTAGATGTGAGAAATCGGCAGTTATCGACGAATATATATGAATTAAAGAGTAAGGAAAAGAGGATTTACCTGAGTAAGAGCGTTGAAAATAAATGAAGAAGAACGAGAGCGAGTGGATGAACAGCGGAGGATTGAGCGAGAAAAAAAATGAGAGAAATGGAAAGGGGCACGCTTTGGAAAATAGTGAAGCAGAAGAAGAAGATGGGCCTTGTGAAATTGGGAATCTGGTACGATCCGAATTGTATGTCCGTTTTAAAAGTGGGTCGTTTGAAGGACCCGGATTTGAACACTGAGCCCAATTTACTAATTGGGCTTAAATAGGTTTAGCCCTTTAATTATTTCTTCACGTACTAAATATTTGTTTCATTCACTTGTTTGCTAAAATTTTTAGAAGCAGCTTTTGAGGTTTTTTTTGCTCATAATCTGTTTCTCGGTGTTTGTAAAACTAGCTTTTGTTCATGTTTCTCCTAAAATAAGTTGCTTTAAACTATTTTTTTAAAAACATCTCTAGACTTGTTTTTTCTATTTAAGTTGATTTTCTAACATATTTGCAAATGTCCCCAATTTTTTGAAATAAACATTTAATACTCACTTAACTCACAATTATTAACTTCTGCTTTTAAATAAGCTTATAGTAAACACCACCTACTTTTGAAAATTGTTAGTGTATATTGAGATGAAATGGCTACATAATGATTCCTATCTAAAGTATTTAATGTTTAAAGTTCTAACCCACTTTTAAAGTTTTAGTCTTCTTTTTCTTGACATTCTTATTTAATCATTTTTTTTAATGAGATATGCCAAATTGGATGAGTTCACTAAGGACGAGTCAATGTTATATAATCTATATTGCTTAACATACATTATTATCAATGCTATCATCATCACTTATGATACAAAGGTTTAAGCTTTTTGGGCAACTATCCTATTTGAACTAAAAATAATAATAATTAAAGTTCGATGAACTCTCGACTCGAGCTCGATTAGTTGTATGC